TATAAAACAAAACATTTCCGAAATTTGCTGTGTAAGCCTGGTTTAAATCAAAGTTGTCAGTCAATAAAAAAATAAAAAATAAACAGCTTATATTTATGGGTTGCTGACAGTTGCATGCAATTCTTTACTGCAATTTGTGTGTAATTTTCGTGCTCCTGTTCCCAGTCTCCTATTTGATATGTAATCTTGAACCATGTGTCTGAATCTGCTTTCTCCCCATCATTAAATGGGTTTAGAATTCAAAGCTTGAGAACCATAGGGAACATGGCCTGATCCTTAAAACCTTTTGAAAAATGGGAAATCCTGGCTTGTTCTCAGTAGCCATAGTTCAAACAAATCTATTTTAAAATGGGGGACAGAAGCTTTCCATCTTCTGCACCTGAAAAAGGGAATGGGGGTACGGTGGGGATGACAAATTATTATGAGGCTTCCTGTGGCTCATTCTCGTAGCAGGAAATCATGATTTCTCATTATGTCTGAGCTTTGAATGTCAATTTTCTGATTCTTGCATATCAGTTAAGCATATTTGATTCTTGTTAGTAATTAAAGTTGTTTCTCTCCTAGGATGGACTTGCAGGAATAAAGCTGGATCAGGATAAGCTTCCTGTAATAGGCAAGAATAATTTTTAAGATTTTAATATATATTTTTAAAGAAAAAACAAAACACAAAAGTTAACTAAACTTACATACACGTATGTTTTACTTTGGAATATATCTTTTTTTTTTTCATTTTCAAAAAACTTTTAAACAATTTCCAACCTATTTTTATAGAGCCTTTAACGCCTGAAGAAGACAATGACGAGGATGCTCAGGCACGGAAACAAGCAGTCATAACGATGAGTTATCAAGAATGGGAGGTAAATGGAAATGTTAAATAAGTGAAGTAGTCAGAGGAAGAATATTTTTATTGGCCAGAGATACATGTTGGGTAACAATTCTGCAATTATGGACCTCATATGTTTAACGGATGCTGGGAGAAAAGGCAGAGAGCTTATTGTGAATGTGCTTGCTATATACACAAGAGGATGAATTGAACTGATAACATTACAATCAAACTCTTTGCTGCAGAATATTTTGAGGAATTTTGAGATTTCACAGCCCATGATTCCACCTGCCAGAAAGACTGGGACATCAGATGGAAACGGAGAGAATGTAAGGTGCCTTTCAGGCCTAAATCTTACTACAGAATCGTTTTATTCTATTTCCAGTGTGATTCTTCCCTTTATGTACAGACTAGAGGCTACGCTGCTTGGTTGCTTTGCTTCCCTTCACTCACCAACCCCATTCCACTTAGACCTCCTCCTGCCTCTTCTGCTCATGCTGCCCTCCTCACCCCAAAACTATTTCAGCCTTTGCATCAGAGTCCAAGGAGGAGGGAAGAGGTAGGCGTTGGCAGAGCAGAATAGTTGCTGTACAGCTGCCTTGTCCTGCCTTCCTCTGTGACTTGCCTGAGCTGCCAGCCTCTGTCTCCCTCCTCCATATCCCTCACATTCTCTCTCTGACACTGCTGAGGTTAAAATGGCATCATTGGTGTGAGGTGGGCAATGGCGGCGGCAGCAGCAGAGTAAGGTTGCTGCTGGGGCACTTCACCAGCCTGTCTTGATAGTACTTGCACGGTTCTCCTGGGTCACCCACCTACCTGTATTTGCTACCGCTTCCCTTCTACTTGCCCTGCAAAGCAGCTGTTGACCAGCAGCTCTCATAATTCTATCGCCACCTATCAGCGGCCAAGCAAACTACACCATTGTGACAGCCTTACTTTTTTATTATATTTGAAGACATAACAAAGCTTACTTTGTAGTGGCTTGTGTTCTATTTATTATGCAGGCATCCTAAGGATCTATAAGAAGACAGTGCTGACAAGTTTCCTGTTTGAAGTTTTGCCAGGAGGATGGCAGAATCCTTTTCTATTTAAGGATCAGATATTTGAATAGCAGAATCTCTGTCTCTCCAGGTGATAATGTATTATAGATGTGCTTTAACAGCAAAAGTTTGAAATTGAAGGTTCTGCCCTTCTGTATGTCCGTTCTATAAGTGATGTTTTTACATGTTTCAACTTCATTCCATTGAAGATTGAGAATGGCTCCATCCCAGCTCTTTTTGAGGGATAGTTCCATTGTAATCTGCACAGTGTTAAGTACATGTTAATTCCAAATGAGCCTTTGGTATAAAACAAAGAGATTGGTGTTTGCTTAGCCATATCAGATTCTGAATTCCATCATATATATATGATGATGGGGAGAAGGGAAAAAGAGTTTAGAAATGGAAAGCTAAGAAGAGAGCATGATACATGTATCTTTCTGCATGATAAAACCTCCACAGCTGGCTGAATGAGTGCATCAAGGTCTGTTTCCATTGAAACTGCTTCAATAGCAAGTTTCCTGTACATCTCAAAATAGATATACATATGCATTTGCGTTGTGCTCTATGAAGGCTACTTCTGGTGAAGGGGAGAAGGAAGTGGCATGTCCGAGAAACAACTCGGGGGGGGGGGGGATATCATTATTTTTCTAATGGCAGAGTTTGCATGTAATGCAAAGCTCAAACTATGGTTTGAACGAGCAAGCATACTGGTGTGCATTCAGAAAATTGTGGCTGCTTTGCTCATCCCCTGATGACATGGCTTGTCATGCTACTTGAAGCTAAGCCATGGTCTGACTTAGCATTATGTGGGAGCCTTGGCTCATGGTTTGCTTCTCTTCAAGCAAAGCATAAACTAGTAAGCCAAGGACAAGCCTTGGTTACAGCTTGTGGAGTGAAACAAGCATGGTTTTCTAACCTTGTACCAATGTGACTGATAGTTTATAAGCCAAATAATGACATGCAAACAAAGTCATAGAATGTAATAACATGGAAGTTTGCTTTGAACATTTTTTTGTATGTAACATAACCATATTGTAGCGTAACTTAGTTGTCCTTCAGCCTTTAGTAGCCTCCTTTCCACATGCATACAACTACCCATATTTGTAGACAAATGTGCCTTAAAGTCTAAAAGAATCAAGAAGATCCAATTACTGCATTTGGATTATCAGTTTTGGGGTAACCATGTATTCCTGGAGCTGCCTCGTTTTATGGGCCACAGCTGTCTTTTAAAAGAACTAGTTGGTTTCAGCTACATGAAAATCAAAGCAAAGTGAGAATTCAAGATTATCTGAAAGGAGTCTTGGAACAAAATACACAGGCAAAGATGTAAAACCAAATTGTACTATATATTAGATTTGAATTTATACAATATTTTTCTACAAACTGTGCTGAAAACAGTAAGATACAAAATCTATAACAATTCATTCAGAACACAGAAATAGATTGGCAAGCATTGTTTATAAATTGTACGGTTCAGTTTCCTTATGTTAAGAATATTCAATAAAACCACAAATGCTGTATCTCTTCTAGTTACGTGTGTGTGATTTTTCTAGTTATATCAGTTGCCAACTGCTAACTCTCATGCTGGTGAGGTGATAGTAATGTTAATTGTAACCTAGCTTTAATATCAACATTATAATAGGTATATAGGCCAATGTACCAAGTAGCAACTTGTGTTCGTGAATATGAAAGGATAGTCATCTCTAACCATTAGCCTGTGGTAGGAGAATTATATAACTTCTGTGGATTTCTCTGTGCAGGAGCTTAGTAAAATTCTTACTTAGTTCATTGCATGTGTATTTGGCTAGGGGGAACTTAATATGAGCCCCTCTGTCACCAGCCTCCATAATATGGACTTAATCACTTATGTGCATACATCTAACCCATATCCTGTAGTAGGGTCATATCAATTTATTTCTCATGCCCACCCCATCTGGAAACCTGCAGGACAATTAAGACTGAAATCTAAGGTGAAGTGAAGACTGTCTCATCCAGTGCCCTGCCAGGCTCATGCCTACAGGGCAGAAAAGTGCTGCTCTCCTCTAGGCCTTTTTCATTACTATTGTTTTTTAATTACTATTGTTTTTTTGTTTGCTTTACTCCCTTTGACAAATAATCTCCAACCCTGGCATAGTCTCTCCCCCCCCCCCCCAGTTTGGGGAACTAGTAGGGAATTGGGAAAGATCCATTGCGACTGCACTTCTTCATATCAGGACTGTGGGGACATTTCTGTGGCAGCTGGAATAGAGACCCTTGAGTTCAGATTTATGTGGCCTGAGAGAGAAATCAGATGGTGCTTATGGCCCTTGGAATGTCATCCTAGGAACTAGAGAACTGAAGGATGAATGTATTTGTTTGAATCTATATCTTTCTGCACTCAAGAAGAGCAGAGCTTCCTTCTAGTGTGATGGTGGAAATTAGTACAATATTAAAATACTGGATTGTATTGTTTAAACAGCTGCCGTTGTTACCAGCAAAGGATGGTCTGAAGGCAGAATAAATGCTGATCTGGTCCTTATTCTTCCATTACGTGTTTAGGTTGGCAAGTGTTATTGGCTATAGTTGCATAAATGGCTCAACTTTAAGCTTCTAGTTTTCTTTTCCCTCTGGTGTGGTAGTGGCAGGTGCCTATAGCAGTCAGAGACTTTCATGTAAGTGATTGGTGTACCAGCATTTCTTCCCAGAAACAAAAGGAAGAAGGCACATGTTCTCTCAGGTTTCGTGTTGCGAAAAATTAATATAAAAATATTGTTAAATGTGTAAGAGCAAGCCATTTCTCATTCTGCCCCTTGTCAGCATGCACTTCCACATGCTAGTGAGCCCTGGATTTAGGCTAGGAGAGGAGTTTGGGAGAGATGATTTCGTTAAATTGCAGCAAATCTAGCGTTTTCCACACTGACTTCTGGTTACGAGAAGCGGGTGGCCACCCTACTTACGCCCTCCAGATGTTGCTGGACTCCCAACTCCCTTTAGCCCCTGCCGGTGTAGCCAGTGGTCAGGGATAATGGGAGACGGAAGTCCCAACAATATTTAGAGGGCCACTTGTTGCACATCCCTGTGTTAGCAGTCGGCTGTTGAAAGCTGGGGCTCTGAAAAGGGACATTCCAGTGCAAGCGCGGCTGTTTCCTACCCAGAAAGCAAGAGGCACGTGCTTTGAGGTGGGGAGAGAGCGCTCCTGTTTAGCAGGCGATGGCGCTCCTAGAGCCGCATCCTCGGGAACTGGAGCTCATTATTTCGGGTGGGTGGAACAGGTGAAGGGCAAGGGAGGGGGAGAAGCTTGCCAAAACGATCGCAAGGTGGAGCAGGTGGCTCAAGGTGCTCCGATCCCCCCTCCTCTGCCAACGAGGCATCGTAGCGCGAGCAGGGACCGGCTGGGCATCATGGACTCCGTCGTGGCCTACGAAGGGACGAGAGAGGGCTACCGGTGCGGCTACTGTCACTCTGCCGGGGGGAAAGCAAGCCACGGTAAGAGCTGGAGGGTGGAAGAATAACTTCAGGAAGGCCCTAATTAAGGCGGGGGGCGGGGGGGCGGGGAAGGTAGGCGCCGATGTGCCTGCAGAGGAAATCCCCGACTACGTAGCGACGGCTGCCCGCAGCACACCTGTCGCGGGTGCATTTTTCTCTCCGCCGCTTGTTACTTAACGCCCTTCCCTCAGTAAAGATGGCGGAACTGGCACGCCCTGTCCGTTGCTTTTACGGAGCCCCCCCTGTGCTCTTGCCCTTCGGAAGAAGGGGCCGCCGCTTGCCCCGCTCTCCGCCTGGGAGTTAATGGCGGCGTTCGTGTTGAGACTTTTCGTGGCCTCGCTGCTGCCGGCCGCCTTCCTCCCGAGAACCAGGGAGTGCCACGCAGCCCTTGCATTTGCTCCCCCCCCACCCCCTGTTAGCAGCCTCCCAGCCGAGGAGCAACAGTAGCCCAAGTGAAAACTCGAGATAGGGCAAGGGGCTATAGAAGTTCTCCTTCGTCCTTCCAGCTTTGAAACAAACCTTCAAGGCTCCTGGCTCCAAAAAAAGTTGGTTTTTTAAGACAGAACTTCGGAGCTTTTGAATGGGGAAACGTAGTTGGGCGAAGAGGAAATTAAGAGAAATTAAGCCCGCGAAAAGGAGGCGTTTAGAGCTCTAGTCTAGCCTAATACCCGTTTGCTCAGAAGTAAGGCTCTTGCAAATGAGTAAACCCCACTGAGCACACCGTTTAGTCCTGCACAAACAGTGGGATTTACACCAAAATAAACTTGTGCAAAAGTGAAGCTCGGCTGAGCTCAGTGCGACTTGCTTCTGATGAACCTGCATAGTTGTTTTGTCGTCTATGAGTTTCGTGCGACGTTTTAAAATGTCAGAAAGCCGTAAAAAATTGGAAACCTGAGCACTCTAGTCTAGTCCTCCCTCCTCAGTATGGCAGTCTCTGCTTAAAAGTGAGTCCCACTGAGTGGGTAGAGAGCGCTGCAGCTTCAGTAATGTTTATCCTACTGACATAATTTAAAGCAGTAGTTTGCTCATTAATCAGATTGTATGAGAAGGACAGGGAAAATAGGCTAGGCAATCAGACAAAACGGAAGGGAAGGGTATACTTGGCCCCGGAGCTGTGGAGCAGATGTTATAATTATTTTGATAGTTTATATGTTACTTCCCCCATGCCTGGAGTGACTTCAAGGGAAATAAAGCTGTCATCCTATGCTGCTTTACCTGGGGAATCTCATTCTACACAATGGGATTGATGCCCAAATAAACAAGCACAGTTTGCAAGATGTATGCACGATTCAGACACAACTGTCAGAACTGAGAATTCACTGGCTGCATTAGCGACACAGTATTGGGCTATTTCTGGGGAAATTTACAATGCCTTTCAAAGCTGCATAGCAGGCAGCAATGGGAACAAAACAGGTGAAAGGTTCTCCCATCATTTCATCTCCATCTGTTGAATTTCTGTTTGCCACGATGGTTTTAAAGACAAATAAAACCCCCAAAACCGTGCCAGAAAAAGAAGCGATATCTATGTCTAAAGGGTTTTTTTTAAGGCAGAGAACACGATAGACTTAAACCCGCTGCAACGAATAAGAAGCTTGTCCCTTTAAGACGCAGTATTTACTTTTGATGCCTCTTTTTTTTTTTTTTGCCCCGCACATGGAAGATGCGAAGCTGTGCAATGGGCTCCCGGAAGTCGCGACAGAAAGCGAGGGAGACTGGAGCCCTCTCCCTGCTCCACCCAAACTTTTGCCCTTTGCTAAGATGGCGGCCGCCGGCGCTGCTGCCGCTGCTTCCCGGGGCCCCTGAAGGGTTTGTGGCACCCTGAGCCGGCCGGCAAAGATGGCGGCGGCAGGGGGAAGTAGTTCCCCAAGTATCGTGGAGTACCTGGGCGGAGACGACGGCTACCGCTGCGGCTACTGCAAGAGCGACACCGGCAACCTCTCCCACGGTTAGGGTCCTGAGGGCGGGGAGAAGCAGCAGAGGAAGGGAGGGCGCTGCGCGCGTGTCTCCCTTTCCTTCAAACTACCTTTTAAAGAAATAAGAGCAGATGCATGGAAAGTGCGCGTGGGCTGAGCTGGGCCTTGGCTTCGGGGGGTCCGAAATGATTCCAATTTCCTTGCAGCCCCTTGGAAGTCTAGGCGGGTTGGTGTTCACCCGTCCAAGTTCCTCCCAGCTATGGTGAAGAAGCGAGGCGGGGTGGGGGGCTTAATGAAAGCCACAAGCCCACTTTCTGGGTACCCCACTTCCTTCTAGGTCAGTAGCTGAGGGGCTGCCACAAGGAGATAAGGTAACGGGGTGGGTTACTCCTTTCAGGCCTCCTTTGAAAAGCCAGGGACTGCTGTGCAATCTGGAGGATTGCAGCAGGGATTGGGAAGGGACACACACACACACACACACACACACACACACTGCATCCAAAATCCAAACATGTTAATAGTGTAAACCAGTGGTTCCCAACCTTTTTTCTTTTTCTGCTATGCCCCACCTAAGCATCTCTAAAATCCTGATGCCCACCCCCTGCCCTGTGACATAATTCTTATTATTAAAAATAAGTGAACTATTCATGTGGAGGAAGCCTAAAAGGTTTGGTTTCACACATTCTCAAATTGCCCCCCTTATAAATCAAATTGCCCCCCTGTGGGGCATGTGCCCCACGTAGGGAACCACAGGTGTAAACTTCCATGAACTCAAGCCTTCTTCATAAAAATGGTTGGTAGTTAGTTACTGTCCTCTCTCTGGATCCTTTATTTAGTCCCCCTTCCCTTCCCTGTTTTGTTTTTTGTTTTGGCTCTCAGAACTAGGAAGAACCACGGGGACAGTACAAAAGGCCTGGCAATGTGACTGCTGAGAGAGTTAAAGCAGAGAAGGCAGCCTTCACTAATGTTTCATATTGTGGAGAGTGGCTAGCTGGAGCCACGTGTAAAACAAACTGCCTCTTAGCAGCTGCTAAGCAGCGCAGGGGTTTCTTTTGAGCTCACAGTCCTCCTCTACACAAAATATTTGTTCTCCAAGCTCTCTTCATTTTGGCTGCCTAATTGGGAAGGGGAAGTCATTTTTTTGCTGCTGGAAGGGGAAGTCATTTGTTGTTGTTGTTGTTGTTGTTGTTGTTGTTAAAAGAATGTTTAGTCGTGTCCGGCTCTTTGTGACCCCATGGACCAGAGCACGCCAGGCACTCCTGTCTTCCACCGCCTCCCGCAGTTTGGTCAAACTCATGCTGGTAGCTTCGAGAACACTGTCCAACCATCTCGTCCTCTGTCGTCCCCTTCTTGTGCCCTCCATCTTTCCCAACATCAGGGTCTTTTCCAGGGAGTCTTCTCTTCTCATGAGGTGGCCAAAGTATTTGAGCCTCAGCTTCACGATCTGTCCTTCCTGTGAGCACTCAGGGCTGATTTCCTTAAGAGTGGATAGGTTTGATCTTCTTGCAGTCCATGGGACTCTCAAGAGTCTCCTCCAGCACCATAATTCAAAAGCATCAATTCTTTGGCGATCAGCCTTCTTGATGGTCCAGCTCTCACTTCCATACATCACTACTGGGAAAACCATAGCTTCTCTGAGTTATTCAAGCCCCTTCGCCTCGACAAGGCAGTGATCCATGAAGGGGTGTTAAAAGAATAGGATGTCACAAATCCTTGTTGATCTACAGCTACTCACCCAGAGATAGTAATAGGCCCTCTGCTGGGTTAAAGAGCAATATTGTGGGTGTGAGCAGGAACTAATGAAAAACTGACAGTAGAGGAGGAGGTTCAATTTTTTTGAGGAAAGAAATGGGTTTTGTTGCAAAGAGGCAAGGGGTGGGACAGTAAGGAACAATGGGACAGAATAAATGGAGGGCGAATAAACACAGAGCTAGATTTGGCAGAGTTGCTGAATGCCTCTGAGACAGGAGGAGCAGATAGAGCTGAATGTGACATGTCAAAGGAGGACAAGGAGGACTTGTTGCTAATGCAGATAGGACCATTTCCCTTAAGCATTGTCTTGGGGAGAGTAATGGTGGAAAAAGCTAATGGAGTATAGTAAACTAGATTGGTCAGTGGGATTGGGGTAGAGACTAAATATAGGGTGTTGAAGTGTTGGGTGGATGTAGCAAAACTAGTGAGGAATGTGGATTTTAATGTTCTTCACAAAGTTTTAATTTTGTGTTTAAAAAATTTCAGCAGTGTTTTTTTTTTTTAAGGTTTTGTGTTGCAAAGAAATACAGGAAGCAGTAACTTTCCACAGGAACTGGCTTTGTTCCCATTGTTTGAAGTGAAGTTTTTATCCCCCCCCCCACTCATGTCTTGTTTGATGTGTGTTTCAGGCATGTGGGCTCATTCACTGACTGTCCAAGATTACCAAGATCTTATCGACAGAGGTTGGCGAAGGTAAGAGATGCCATCTGAGCACTGTTGGTGTAACTGAATCCATTGTTTCAATATTAAAGAGCATATTGTGGAATTCAAACTGCCACATTTTATTGTAAAAATATATAAGATCATAAACGTCACATTGTACCATGAGGAAACTGAAAGGGAAAGTGTTTTCAAGTCATGCTAGCAAAGTGCTGCCCTGCTTGTGCTTCTTCAGTCTTAGCTTCTCACTCCTCCTTACAGAAAATATATGGCAGTGTCTATTTCTATTGGGGAAAGAGTGTAGACTTATCCCTAGCTAACCTGGTTTGGAGGACCTACTTAATTTTTGTGCCTATGTGGTCTTCAGCTCAGGCATAGTAAGCTTATGTTCCTCCAGATATTGCTACACTCAAACCCCCACCATCCTTGGCCATGTTGGCTGGGAGTTAGACTACATCCTTGAGCATCTAGAGGTCAGCAGGTTTTAGTGGCAATGAAGGAAGAAGTGGGGCATTTGCTATGGAGAGAGACTTGAGAAGGCAAGGAGACAGTGCATAATTCTGCAGCCCCCTTACGGTCTCTTTCATCATAAGCATAAACTTCAGTTTGGCCCTTCAAGAGCTCCCATGCCATGAGTGAGTTCATTTCATTTCCTGCTCTTTTTCTGTTTTGTTGCAATATCTAAACCAACTGTAACTTGTATCCTATCAGAAAAGTTCTCCATTTGTGAATAGGGGACAACTTGACTTCCTTCTAAGAGAAGTCTTTTATTAGGACCAGTAGCCCATTTGAAGTGTTCCATTTAAAACTAAGCGTCACCTAAAGTGATCATTATTCTGGTAGGTCTTGGTGCAAGAAATTGACTAGCAATACCTTCTTGAAAAGAGGGGCTCTAGACTTGAGTGGACCTTTTCAGAAGAGCTGGGGCCCATGTTCCATCTGGCCTATGTGGAGACTCCCACCTTTAGTAGATACATGTCTAGTACTTATCATCAGAAGACATCCAGGCGTGGGCAGCCTATTTCTTCTGAGTCCCATATGGCCAGCAGTCATAGCGCAATAACTCCAGAATGTCGCTGCATTGCACATCGCCAAGAGACGAGCTAATTGCTTTGGATGGTTCTGATCATGTGCCTCGGAGAGCATTTGGAAAGTGGGGTATACATTTCTTAAATAAATATGTAGCGACAGTTTAAATACAGTGGTCTCAGACTGGTTTGCGCATAATGCCAAACCCTGGTTTAGTGCATTGTTCTTTAACAAGACTACAATTCCCATAATCCCTGACCATTGACCATGCTGGGTGGGAATCGTGAGCATAGATTAGCATTATGTGTGACCCAGGAATCGTGGTTTAAACAAATAAGTTATTTAAACCTTATAATTCATGGCTATTCTAAGAACTAAACATACATTTTAAACAGGTTTTTTTTTTAACTTATAGGAGTGGGAAATACATTTACAAGCCTATTATGAATCGTACATGTTGTCCTCAATATACAATAAGGTAAGGCAATACTTCTGTATATTTTCTTGAATGTTGACATATAGACAGATTCAGATATCTGCTTAATGTGAATATTAATGGGAAATGGTGACTCGTGATGTCATTAAGCTATGAAGCAGGTTGCTGTGAGGGTAAACAGTTTATTATGAGCAAGCAGGTTGGAACCCTGTGCATAAAATGCTTTTAGTTGTACTTGTAGTGTTGTAAAGAACCTTGCTGAAAAGAGATGTAAAAATATCACAGTAATTTGTACATTGCAAGACTTTGAAACTGTGTGTTCTGCTGGGCTTTAATTCCATTGTAACTTCTCATCCCATTTTAGTGAATGCGGGTGATTAAATGTTAATGTTGTCATAATTCCAAACATCCACAGAAATATCAAAAGAGCATCACTAGCCACTAATTAATGTGGTATTGTTAACAAAGCCTAAACTGTTCCATGGAACCTAACATGACTAATTGATAACATACATATCAAATTTTTGTTTAATATACTGTATTATTTGGCGGATACCTTGACTATATTCCCTTTTTCTTTTTTTAGATGCCGGGCCTTAAATTTCCAGCCTTCCAAATCACATAAGAAGGTTCTAAAGAAGATGTTGAAATTCTTAATGAAGGGGGAAATTCCTGTAGTAGACAGTGAAGGTAATAAGCGGTCTTTTAAACATTACTTACTGTTGTGGTTTTGTGCAGTTGTGCAATTAAATTTCTTTTTTACTTAGATCAATAGGTCAATGGCATGTAAATTATATAGAGCTGTAGCTGTCTTTTAAATTTTAATTATTAGTGTTATATAGTATTTTTTTATCAGCTGTCCTTTGTCTTTTGCTCATGGTTTGTCCTAATTTTCCCCTATTTACAGTGGAGCCTATGGATTCTCACACCAAAGATACTGATGGCTGCAGTTTTTTCTTAAAAGACGAACCAGGCAGCTGTCAGGCTGAACTAAAACCCCTCAATCCTGATCATTTGGAGAAGGTGGAGAGTGGGGAAGGTGAAATAACTGTGAAGAAAGCAGACTCAGACCATATTGAATTGTCTCATGAGAAAGTTAATGCCAATTCTGGGGAGCCGTTGGAGTCAGCTAAAGTTAGTCCCGCAGTTCCCAAACCAGGTAACTAATCTTTAATATGGCAAAACAGATTTGCACTTTCTTTTCTTCCTTGTTTGTCTTGTGTGATTTCCAGAAATTGCAGATGGTTCAGAATTCAGCGGCCAGGTTGCTCACTGGATCAAGACATCCTGAGTACATAACACCAATCCTGTGCTGACAGCACTGGCTTAACAGTTAGTTTCTGGGCCCAATTCAAAGTCCTACTTTTGACCTATAAAGCTTTATGTGGCTCAGGACCCCAGTACTTTCAAGGGCTGCCTCTCCCCATATGAGCAGACCAGGACACTGCAATCACCATCTCAGGCCCTTCTTGATGTGCCCACAGGAAGTTTGGAGGCTGGTGACATGAGAACAGGACTTTTCTGTCATGGCTCCCTGCTTGTGGAAGGCTCTCTCTAGGGTGGCTCACTTGGCACCATTATTACCTGTCTTCAGGTGCCCATCAAAATCATTTCCCCCCTCAACCAGGAATTAATTAATTCACCAGTAGCCTCTTTTAGTGGGTGGGGTGCTTTAATCCTACATTTAAAAATATGAATGTGAGAGCCAGCGTGGTGTAGTGGTTAAGAGCGGTAGTCTCGTAATCTGGGGAACCGGGTTCGCGTCTCCGCTCCTCCACATGCAGCTGCTGGGTGACCTTGGGCCAGTCACACTTCTTTGAAGTCTCTCAGCCCCACTTACCTCACAGAGTGTTTGTTGTGGGGGAGGAAGGGAAAGGAGAATGTTAGCCGCTTTGAGACTCCTTAAAGGGAGTGAAAGGCGGGATATCAAACCCAAACTCCTCTTTTCTTCTTCTTCTTCTTCTTCTTCTTCTTCTTCTTCTTCTTCTTCTTCTTCTTCTAGATTTTTCAGTTTTGTTTCGTGCTGGTTCTAATGCACGTGCAGAAACCACCTTCTTGACTGTTGGCCCCGCTTTGAGTTACTTTTGCAAAAAAAACGGGAGGGCGGCGGCTAATGAGTGGCTTACAAATACAGTATTATAACTTTATACACAAGTAGGAAATTATTTGTGCTGCTTAACCTTACAAGTGATGAGTACAAGTGTTATGGGCAAGGCAGACATATACAGTGGTACCTTGGTTCTCAAATTTAATCTGTTCCGGAAGTCCATTCCAAAACCAAAGTGTTCCAATACCAAGGCACGCTTTCCCATAGAAAGTAACACAAAACGGATTAATCCGTTTCAGACTTTTAAAAACAACCCCTAAAACAGCAGTTTAACATGAATTTCACTAACGAGACCATTGATCCGTAAAATGAAAGCAATAATCAATGTACTGTACTATAAAATAAATAAGACACTATTGTAGGTGATAAAAATTAAAATTATTATTTTTTCCTTGCCTGCACTGATGATAGTCATGGTTTGGATGGGGCGCTTTTATCAATTTCAGCAGTCACGCAATCAATCAATCAATCAATCAATAGCTGAACTGGGTTCCACACAGTCACAAAAACAAATTAACCGAAAAAGCCTCAAAAACAAAAACACAAAATAAATCGCAAAAACAAAAAAGCGCCAAACTTAATCCGTTCTGGAAGTCCGTTTGACTTCCGAAATGTTTGAAAACCAAGCCGCAGCTTCTGATTGGTGCAGGCGCCCTGGAAACAATAGCCAATAGCTGCGTCGGCCATTCGGCTTCCAAAAAAATGTTTGAAAACTGGAACACTTACTTTCGGCGTTTATGAACCAAGGCTTTTGAGTACCAAGGCGTTTAAGAACCAAGGTACCACTGTACTAAAAAACAAGCAGTACATACATTTTGAGTAGACAGTAGTTGGAACAGATAAGCAAGGAAGAGGGAGGGAGGGAGGAGAGAAGGCCATTGCTATGCCATATGAGTTACTTTGGCAGAATAGCTGTTGTTTAGGAATGTTTAAAGTATAAATAGTGCTGTGCCTTTTACCCAGCTGGCCACTTTCCTCTCTGGAAAAGGGGGCGTCATGTGGCATCACCTTCTGGTGCTAAATAAATGCCTGTTAATTGATCTGACTGGTGTTTGGTATTGATTGGAGCACCAGGCAAACCCACAGGGATACTGGGGATCACCCTGGTATTTTCCCCAATACAAGCACAATACTAACATGTAGCTGGAGCGTCAGAAGAGGATTACATTTTTTCTTATGGTATTCATTGCCTTTCTTCCAGTCGTCATAAAAGTATACAGGTGAATGAATGTAGCTCTTCTACAGCACACACTTTCGCCATTGAGTATGTACGCATTGCCTTTCTAGGGAAAGGAGCCGACTTGAGTAAGCCACCCTGCCGTAAAGCAAAGGAACTAAGGAAGGAACATAAATTGCAGAAGACCCTTCAGAACCAGACACAAAATCCTTCGCTGCAAACTGAGGCTCAGGTTTTGCTTGGCCAGCGCTCAAAAGCTAAAACCAATCAGCCCAAATCAATTGAAGACTTCATTTTTGCCTCCTTACCTACTGAACCTGTGCACCAGTTAGAGGTACTGAGATACTTACTTTGATTGACGTGATACGTAGAGCCATCATGTCATTCTTGTACAGCTGCTTACGTTGAAGGTATTTGATTAGTCAGATGTGAAAAATGTTCTACTTTTAATTGTAAAAAATGGTTGCATTATAACATGCCTTGGTGTCAATTACTGGCATTTGAAAAGTCCTGCGATGTTTTCAGTTTAGCCTTATAAGACGTTGTTGTGTGTATGTTAGTGTGTGCAAAACTTAAGTGGATGTGTTCTTTGCAGAAACACAAGAGGGTGCTGTGGTTCCACCTGAATGAATAGCGCAGTACATTTCCAGAACAAAAATCACATTAGTGGAACTGTAATTAGATATGAATGTTATATAAAATTAGTCCCCTAATTTGAAGTAAAAATTAGAAATGACAAATAGCTAGATTTTTACATTACTGAAGAAGACGCTGTTTCACAAAATATTTTTATCAATTTCCAGTACCAGACTCCTGGCTATAATTTGTGCATTTCTGGAAATTTTTAGGACCTATTTCCCCCCAGATATGCATATGATGGCATATGAGTCTATTACCTATTCACCCCGTGAAAAGAATTTCTTAACCAGTTTTGGGCAATGTGCTGAAACTTACATACAAGGTAGCTGACAAAGAATTACTTTATCCTCTTGGCCACTTCCCTGGGCACCAAACAGCTCCTGGGAGAGCAGTCCTTGGTCCCTAGGAAACTAGGTCTTGCTACTGTGAACCAGTCTTTCCAAGCAGCCCCGTTATCTCCTTCAAAATTGGTGGAGTGGGGAGAGAGGATGCCTGTCACCACTGTTCAGCTGGATTTTCTGTCTCAGGGGTTGAGGCTGCAAACCTCTAGATCAGTGGCTCTCATCCGGTGGGCCACAGAGTTCGTCAGTGGCTACTGGATATTAAGACCCACTTCCCAAAGCCTGGCAAGTAAGGGAGAGGGGGTCTCACCTGCTGCTGCTGGTTGCAGCCCTTCCCCACAGCAAGGGGCCTCATGCAGGTAGAAAGTAGTGAAGCAACAGAAGGAGGTGATGGTGCATGGTGGCAGGACTTTTTTCATCTGGGAACCTTTGCTCTAGAGCAGGCATCCCCAGACTTGGCCCTCCAGATGTTTTGGGACTACAACTCCCATCAACCCTAGCTAATAGGACCAGTGGTCAGGGATGATGGGAATTGTAGTCCCAAAAAACATCTGGAGGGTCGAGTTTGGGGGTGCCTGCTCTAGATGGTCAAAAGCACACCCTGGCTAGTTCTTTCCCTTATGGGCACTTAAATTGCCTCATCCCGGATTCTGTCCCTGATCTTACACTTTTTCATCTTGTAACTGTCCCTTTGTCACCCTCCTGTCAAAAAACATTTGCATGTCATGTGCTTGCCTCCTGTGTTTTGACCCACCCTTGCTTCTGTTTTAGCTTGTCTCTGACCCTGGAAGGACATTTGACTTTGGCTCCTTGATTACTGCCTAGCATTAACATGACCTCTGACTCCATTTGCTCTGTTCATTTGCGATTGCCACGCCAGGTCAGATTCTGTTCAGTGTAGCACCTAGCCATGACAGGGTATTTGCTTGGTCTCTTGCAAGACATGACTCATAGCCAAGATGTAAGGGAAATAGTTTTTTTCTTATTGAGAATTGGATCAAAATTTTGATATATTAGCCTTAGCAGAAAAAATAGTGAACTTGAGGCATACGTTGGCCCAGGTCATGTATCACATTAAACTATGGCTTAAAACAAACTATGGTTTGATGTGAGTGAGCAACTTGCTGGTGCATGTTGCTGGAAAGTTTTTTGCAGCGCTTCTTCCCCATTCTCGCTATACCACAGGTAAAACAAGTCAGGGTCTTGTTTGTCATGTTGTCCAAATGCAATCTATGATTTGTTTCCCTCCAAACAATGAGTGGTAACCAGTATTTGTTCTTGGCTTACTTCTCATGCCTCGTTCTGGCATGTTTGTTTATTTTTTTCTTAGGAAAAAGGGGTATAGTTCCACTAATAGCACATTTTAAAGCATACATTTATGTGTGCTAAGTCTGTTTCCCATCTGATAATGCTGATATTCTGGGGTACAGTGACATATGGCATATAGTGAAAGAAGAGGCTGAGACAGTAATCCTAAACCCCCTTACTAGGAACTAAGTCCCATTGAACTCCTTGAGACTTCTGAGTTAAACATACCTAGGATTGAACTGCTAGTATAGTATGTGTTAACATGATGTTGTGCTAATAGGATTTAAGGGAGATTTAAATTATTCAGTTGTGTTAAAAGAAATCTCATCAGTGTTCTTGTCCTAGCATCTCAAAATAGTGCATAGATGATGGTAGATAGCCAACAGCAAAGACTGATAGGAAAATGGCAGGAAGCAAAATGACCTCCTGCAATTTAAGGGTGGATGTGGATTTGAGTAGCAACTTGTTTTTGTTCTTACAACATGTATAGAATATATGTATTTATGTTTGAATAATCCTTATTATACAACTGCATGATTCACTCAAAATTGATTTTGTATTAGACTTTGTAAACTATTGAGTAAAGTGCACGGTGTTTACAGAACAATGACTGGAAACTAAACTTAAATGGTTACATGGAAAATAATCTTTTCATTTCTTAAAAAAAAATAAAAAATAGGCGTAGTGGAGCAGAAAGTAACATTGGCCTCGAGGGGGAAATGGTTGTTTAAAAGTATTGTTGATTTCATTGTGTAAATGTTGATTTAACTATAGTTAGTTTCTAACTGTTTGTATTCTTCCCAGCTTTTGAATGGCTATTATTCCAATAATGAATATCTTTCTTTGGAAGGTGAGGCTGGTGCAATCATCTCCACCAAGTTCCCTGTTCAAAGCCACCTTTCAGGAGTCTTACCAGGTCTATAAACGTTACCAGATGGTTATTCACAAGGACCCACCTGATAAACCAACCGCCAGCCAGGTTAGACACAAGCATGTTGCTTTGGTCTATTCTGAGACATTTGGAAGCTGTTCCTTTAAAATAATTAATAACCATAGAAACTTCAAAAAAGAAAAAAAAGAATTAAACAAAACTTAAATCCTGGAAGTACAAGGAGGTTTTGCATATCTCATGAGTGCCACAAATAATTAAAGACATTTTCAAGCAAAAGGAGAAGCAATAATGGGGTTTGCTGTGACATTGGAGATGGTGCATAAAGAGGAACAGGTGAACTAGTGAAATACACTTTATATTCCCCAAACAGTAGGGTAGCTAGATTTTGAAAGTTGTACGTGCCTCTATAATGGGCGATCCTACAGGGCTTGAGTGTGTTTCACAAATATTTGTAAACAGCTTTGAGGGCTTTTTTTTTTTAATCCAGTGGTGTATAAATTTTATGAAATAAATAAAAATTAGGGCACAGTTAACCTTGGGTTGAATTTATGCTGAGGTCCTATCCATAAAGTATGTTGCATATTGGATGGGGAAGGAGAACAAAGTTTTGGAAGAGTGTGTGTGTAGGATGAAATGGTTTCCTTACACCTGTTCATCTCTTTGACTTACTCTTTACTTTTTATTTTCCATCTTCATTCTCTTCTGCCCCTAACATACCAACCTTTGCAAGGTACTGTGAAATTCTGAAAAGGCCCATAGTTTCATTCAGGCAAGAAGACATGTGGTATCTAGGACATGGCTACTCTTCAATCAGTACCCATTATTTCTTTTGCTTCAATGTGTTGTTGATGCCCCTGTCCATACTGCAGTTTGCTCTCATACCCTCATCTATCCTTTGGCAATTCCTTTTCCTTAATGTAAGCTTCTTCTTCTCTTCTCACCTGACAATTCCCAACTCACTTTGTTCACACTGTTCTGTCTGCTTTCTTTGGCAAAATATCTGAATTCAGCAATGGAAAGAAGTCACAAATAGTGATCATTTTAGTGTGTGTGTGTGTGTGTGTGTGTGTGTGTGTGTTGGAATGGTTTTAGAAAGTGTTAGTGTTTCCTGATAAGCATCAGTTGGATAAAGGCATCCTTCTCCATTCAAAATGTACAGTGGTACCTTGGGATGCGAACGGGATCCGTTCTGGATCCCTGTTCGCATCCTGAACAGAACGTAAGACATGACAGCGTGTCTGCGTGTGCGCGGGTTGTGTTTTGCCGCTTCCGCGCATTCGCGTGACATCATTTTGACCGTCTGTGCATGCGCAAGTGGCAAAACCCGGAAATAACGGGCTCTGTTACTTCTGGGTCGCTGCGGAACGCAACCCGAAAGTGCTCAACCTGAAGCATATTTATCCCGAGGTATGACTGTACTTTGTGTAATCATTGATAAACAGTCTTGGGTCCTGACTTAGTTGCTGCTGGAGGGTGTATCCTCTGAGTGGAGCTCCACTGGGGATATTCCTGCTGGCAGAAGGTGTGTGGGGAGGCAACATTAACCAATTCTCCCTTGTGGTGCCTGAAAAACTGTTCTGGAGGACTGGTAGGATCCTCTGGAACAGCAGGGGCAGGGAATAGAGAGAATCTGCTGGATCAGTAATCATCTCTGGAGAGAAGGAGCCCTTCTGTTTGTGGAAAGCTAAATTTGGATTCCAGCCTATGTAAATTGTGGTGGGTAACGTCTGCTATAGTGATGGATTGTGGAAGATGGTAGGGAATTTAGTTTGCAGAGTAGATCATACTTTATGGATAATTTCTTTGGGATTATTTGCATTCAGGACTGGCCTTTATGTTGGCTGTGATTGACCAAACAGAGCGACGAAGTCCAGAGGTGCAAAAACCTAGGTGCCTAGTCGCTAGTGCCTAAAAACGTAATCTAGTGACAAGCATGTGGATTACAGTAATGTAGAAGTCAGGAAGCAGGTTTCTCCTGTATGACTTTCATTTGGGTGGAAGGGAGGCTGAGTACCCCAGTGAAGGCCAGAACTTGGAAGATGTTCATATTGTGCAGCTCTGTTGGGGTATTAGTTCTTCCATTTACAATGCATGATTAAGATATTTGGAGTGGTGGGAAAGGTTTTTGGATGAGAATTGTGTATAGCCCTCAGGTTTACAAACTCTAATTGAGAACTTCTGATAATCTAGAACTATTCTCACTAGACCGGTAATGAGTAAACCTTAACTACAGAGCCAGTTCACTTGAAGCATTGACCAGGCCATTGGTTTAACATCACTGCTTTGCCTGAACTGAGAGTACACTCTAGAAAATATATGACAACTCCAGGATGCAGCGAAATATTGGTTGTAGGGGGCAAGCTTGCCTTCCATTTTTGATCTTATTGAGAAATCTCAGAATTCACCTCCTTCTAGAACATGAGACAGTCAAATCCTTCTTGACTTACCTGGAATTTTGATTACGTTATCTATTTTGCATGGAGAGATAATTGGCATAGAATATTAAGTGGCTCTGAGTATTACTGTTTTCAGCTGGTATGCAAATGAGCTCTTCCTGTTCCTGGAGTGCAGAACCAGCCTAGCACTTAGAATGCCACCATTGCTTCCAATCTTAGTAATACATTTCTGCGGTTGCTGGGCTTCCTTGTATGTCTCCTAGGAAGAGGCTTTGAAATGGATTTGAGGAGATAGCATACTAGCCTTACCTTCAGAAGCATTTGGACAAATGCCAACAAAGTACCTTTGTTTTCCCTTGCTCTGAAGGTGAGGTTAGTACCTGTTTCTTTAGAGGACCCGCAGTTCAAATCTTCTTTCACCCAGTCTGCTGCTTTATTTGCCAAGTATCAGATGGCCATACACAAGGACTCTCCTTTTGAATGTAACGAGTATCAGGTACAGTTAACTGCATGCACTTTTTTTGTCCTTATTATCATTGGTGGTGTGAATAACAGGCTATTGCATTGACTTTCCATCAGATCTGTGAATGTGGTGGGGGAATTAGGATTTGGATGTGCCTTCTAGCAGTAGCGTTCTTATCTGTGTCCTGAATCGGTTGGAATAAGCTTGCTACTGTTCTCCTAATCCAGTTATTTGGAAGTAAATCCCAGTATCACCAATGGGATTTTTCTCTGAAATAAGTATGCTCAGCCCAGGTATAGTATAGGTATAATATTTCCTGTTCTGTCATGGTGTACCCTTCCAGTTTGCATGCTTCTCCCCATTCTTCAATCTCTTTGGTTCATGTGCTCAATTTCTCCCCCATCATCTTCTCTTTGGCTTGAATTCCTTCATATCCCTTTCCATGACTAACCATGGTTAGCATTACACCTGAATTGCAGTTAACACTAGCCATGGTTAGCTTTAAACCAGAGTTTGAAGTGGGTTTTAAACTGTGGTTTAATGACTAACATTAATGTCATTTCAGATGGAATGCTAGCCATGTATAGTACTGAAAGTGATTGGGGAAGGGAAGAGGAAGGGGTCAGATTGGAGCGTGCAAGTAAAAAAACCCACTAGAGATCAGTCAGTGTTATGTTAGTAACAGACATAAGATTAGTGTTTGATTTAGAAAACTAAACTCATGGCTAAAACGAAAAGCCTCCTGTTTTCCAGACAGTTGAAGCTAGATTTTATGATCGATTTAAGATTGACAACAATTGGAATTATCAGTACAAGAAATCTGGGCCATTTCAACATCACAGCTTAATGGAGGGTTTAAAGTTTTACAGAAACTATATAGCCAGGTGTCATAACTTCTCTGTGTGTGTGTTTTGTTTTTTGAAAGCTTAGCATTAGTTATGGCTACAGTTCAAAATACATTTACTGCAGTCTCTAATTTCTTGTTTTCGCCACTCCTTTCGATTCTATACATTGCCTTATTTTCTTGTATTGTTGTAATATTGAAAATTAACTTGCTTGCAGTCTGCATCTTGAAGAATTTAAGTGTAGAATGTTGGGCATATTGCAAGTGTTTAAAGGTCAGCAGTTGCCCATTTTTGATGTAACGGTAAACCATGGTTTAGCTCTATGTGTGGAGCCGATACTAGCTTGTACTCAAGTATTCCGACAGGAGACAATTGAAACCTTCCACTTCCAGTATTAAGTCAGTCTCTTGTTTCACTGCTCACCTGGCCAACATCGGTTACTAGGAATTCCATGCAGGCAAGTGCATGGAATTCCCTCCAGGTGACCAAGTAGGCGGGTAAAGGATGAAAAGAGCATTCAGTTTATCCTTTGCCAGCCCAATGTGCATCTAAATGTAGTTATCTGAGGGAATTGATATAATATACCTAAGTTGAATGCATAAATCACATGAAGGGCAGGGTCAGTTTAATGCATAAGTAATAGTATGTTTTAGAGACATTGCTCAGAGACTTTCATGAATTCCGCAGACCTTTTGTGGGAATGGATTTAGGAGCTCATGTGTACAATTTGTAGAGTGTGTGTGACAAACCAGATCACATTTGTGTTTATCTTCTGGAGTTTTGCAGCAGCTGTTCTGTCAGGCATCCAAAACACCTTCCCTACTTTCTTACACAATGCATACATGTTTTAATGATTTTTATATTAAGTCACAACCTTTGTAGTTTTTCCTTTCATTGATCTAGGAACTAGAGTTTGAAAGTTGAGTGGATATGAACATGCAGTTTTATATTGCCCACTCTCTTATGAAAAACGATTCTGACAACATACAGAGTTCCTGACAGTTAAACAGGCTGTTAGTCCTTGCTGTGGTGCCTTAATGGAATGGAAATTCCTCTGAATTACCACCCACTGTTGCAAGGACATCAGTGTAACTACATGGTGTTTGGTGCTTTTTCAGTTGAAAGAGATTTTAAATAGTCTTCTGCTCCCTGTCTGTCTCTGAAACTGGTTCCATAGCAGAAGGGGCATATCGCTCCATAGCAAATGCTGAAGCCCTCTGAATGGTTGATCTGCATTGGTACTAACAGTCCCTCGCCTATTAAAAATAATGTTTTAATTTGCTTTTCAAATTTGATAGTGTTTATATTGACAGCAGCTTGCACCACTAGCACAGCGTGTCTTCAAGTCATAATGTTGCAACACACAAGCTGTCTGTGGATCTTATAAAGTGTAGCCGTCAAGCAAAACGATATGTGCAGGGTTTTCCTGAGGAAGACAGCACCAACGTCTTTTCTCATCTGCGTACTCCCCATTTCTTTTTCAGTAAGAAACAGCAACCCCTCAGTGGAAACTTGCCATGGCTTGTGCCTTGGAATTAAAATTCAGGGAGCTAAATAAAAAGCACAGGGCTTTAAATTAACATACACATGCAGCAGATTGGATGGTCTGCATCTTAAAATCTGCCTCCTTTATTATGTCAGGTAACTCAAATTTATCAAGTAGTAAGCACTTTTTGTTTAAGTAAGCATCTTCCTTCTACCTGGTGAAGAGGTCTCTGTAATTTTTTAAATTTTAATGTTCAACTGCCAGCAGCAATTCTGTTACAATTACTTAACTATTTTTGTGTCTCTTCTTCCTTAACACAGTATCAGGAATGCACATGGATTACACTTCCTTTATTATATAGTACTTTGGTGCTATTTTTCTTAGAAGTCTTTAATGTCAGATTCTCAGGACTAAAGTTATGCCACTACTAGTACTAACAGGGTTATATCTGATTAAGAAGTTTAAATTTTAAAAACATATTTCCATGTTCTGTCACTGCCTTTGATAATAGGGTTGCTATTTTGAGGCTGCCGTACGCAGTTTCCATAATGCTCTTTTTGTTAAAACTCATGTTTGGCAATTAAGTCCCTTTATGGTATTCTGAAGAAACGGTTTACATCTGCAGGGTAACCAAAACAAACCAAGTGGCAATTACACCAGTTAGAAAACATTTCCATACATGATCATAAGTCTGACAGTAGTTCTCTCAAATAGCCATAGTTAACAATTTTATTGCTGTTTAGCCTTACTGAAGCAAGCATTCTACTCCACTACATTTGGCATATTTTATAATGACAAGTTTATAGGAAAGAAACAGTGTGTTGCTCAGTTTCCACTGCAAAGCTGGACTACCTTCTTACCTTAGGCTTAGTAAAATATTTGTTTTGGAAGAAAATTTATTTAAAGACCTACAAAATATTCACTGTCTAAAAAGCTGCATGTAATAATGTTACTGAAGGGGGGGGAGCTGCAGTGCCTCCCCAAAATGACAACATGGAGGCCGAAGCACGTGGAAGGTAAAGAACGTGGGTTTGTATCTAAACAAGTTATGCTCGAAGTACACCCATATGAATGAATGGCCCTCGTACCTACGGGACCGCCTCTCCTGGTATGCCCCACAGAGGAACTTATGGTCTTCAAACAAAAACATCTTGGAGGACCCAGGCCACAGAGAGGTTAGGCTGGCCTCAACCAGAGCCAGCGCTTTTTCGGCTGTGGCTCTGATCAGGTGGAACTCTTTGTCACAAGAGAGTAGGGCCCTGCAGGACTTGACATCTTTCTGCAGGGCCTGCAAGACAGAGCTGTTCCACCAGGCCTTTGGCCAGGGCACAGCCTTACTCCCTCCTTTTGGCAATCTTCACAGAACTCCAGCCCAATGGTTGCCATTAATCTGTTTTGATGTAATTTTATAATGAAATGATTTTAGAATGTTTTATCATTTTACTGTTGTTAGCCACTCTGAGCCCTGGCTTTGGCTGGGGAGGGTGGGATATAAATAAAATTTTATTATTATTATTATCAAGTTAGTCATCTCCATTAACCTCAGTAGGTCTAATCATGTATGACTAACAGGTGGTTCAGCGGGAGGGTAAACGGCGTTCCGTGTGCTGCGCTGGCTCACCAGATGCAGCTTGTCACGCTGGCCACGTGACCCGGAAGTGTCTGCGGACAGCGCTGGCTCCCGGCCTATAGAGTGAGATGAGCGCACAACCCTAGAGTCTGGCAAGACTGGCCCGTACGGGCAGGGGTACCTTTACCTTTTAACAGGTGGTTCGATACATGATGTGCTACAGTTCATACTGGATCAGGCCCAAGGATCATCTAGTCCAGGGGTCAGCAAACTTTTTCAGCAGGGGGGCGGTCCACTGTCCCTCAGACATTGGGGGGCCGGACTATATTTGGGGGGGGGGCAAAATGAATGAATTCCTATGCCCCACAAAAAACCCAGAGATGCATTTTAAATAAAAGCACACATTCTACTGATGTAAAAACACACTGATTCCCGGAACGTCCGCAGGCTGGAATTAGAAGGTGATTGGGCCGGATCCGGCCCCCAGGCCTTAGTTTGCCTACCCATGATCTAGTCTCCTGTTCTCACAGTGGCCAGCTAGATGCCTATGGGCAGCCTGCAAGCAGGACTTGAGTGCAACATTTGTGATTCCCAGCAACTGGTTTTCAGAGGCATACTGCCTGTGACAGTGGAGGTAGAACATAACCATTGTGGCTAGTAGCTGATCTGTTTAAAAAACAATATTTTGCCTTTGCCCACAATCCCTTTCCAGCTTGAAATATATATATTTGGAAGAAATCTGCATCTTCACTTCTTTTGCTTACTTACTGATACTCTAGAGCACAGTGTGTGATTCAACTACGTCTCAGAGAAAGTGATGCTTCTTGAATAGGAATTTTTGCCCCATTCTGAAATGGCTTCATTTGCCATAAGTGGCATACATCATGTACCCAAATCTTGACTGGTTGCCCAGAAGAGAATGCAACCGAAAGTTTTTCTGTACTCCTGTTCTGATATATGGAAGTTTGGTCCAATCAAAAGTACTAAATGTTTTTGCTCTTCTGTGGACTGCCCAGCAATGGCGACAACTCATAACATTCATGTATTCTAAGTTAACTTTAGGTATTTGAAGAAAAATGTTGCAGAACAATCTCTGGAAAGTCAGCAAATATTTAGAAAATGTTTTGGCATTTGCTGACCAACAAAAAGCTAGAATTCAAATTCTTGAAAGTCTTTCCAATGTCAAAGATGTCTTCCTCTGGTGCCAGATCTTTTAATTAAGGAATTACTGAGGTCTGCATAAAAGCAAAGTAATGCAGATGCTTAGCAATTGGCCTCTTTCTCAAATATGAATAGATCTTTGGAAACTACATTATAACTCTCAAATTCAGAGGTATAATTAGAAGAATGAAACCAACAATTTTCCCATGCCTCAATCCTAAAGCTCCAGATTACCCAGTCTTTTGAACACCTTGGTTGTGAATGACTCCGAAAGGCCTAACAATAGACTCCACACTGTTCCCTTGTCTTTGACAAGGGCTTAGGCTTATGGAAGTCTCCTTTTTGATTGTCAAAGGGCTTGTCTAAATATTTACCATCCATTTGGAGGTTAATTAGATCTTGCCTTCAGCTACAGGCATACTGCAGCAAGAACAATATCAAAACCAAAATTAGATAGTGCTAGGGAAGGAATCCATATTACCCTTATTTTTAGTTCTTGATTCATTTGAATCTAAATTGTGTGGTGGTGGTGTATTTAACCATGTTGCTTTCTTTTGATGAAATAGTCAACTGTACTTCATGGCTCTCCAGTTGGCACAAGTTTTATGGACAATTTAAAACAGCATCTGGTGGCATGTTAACAAATTGTGACATAAGCATTTATGGACCAGAGCACATAGAATAAAAACATTTCTATATAAATACATTTTTAATATTAGCATAAAGGCATATGCTACCCTAGCAATTTATGCTATTATGTTCTTAATGCCTGCTTTACTCAATGGTTTCAAGAAATGCAAACTTTTCAGTAGCAACTGATAGTGAGCAATAAACAAGGTTTATCATTTTTTAATTTTGTAAAATTTATATACCGCTGGACTGTAGAAACAAAACTCAAAGCGGTTTACAAAAAACACCTTTATTTGCATATAGATCAATCAGTTCAAGAGACCCAAACTTTTGGGCAGCATATTGTCTAAACCAGGCCCTAAGTTGGATCCCAACCTAGTCATACCAGATGTAGACCCATTTATATCAATTGACTTCGGGATGACTAGAGTCCCAAAGATTTCATTGGATCTCCTCTAAGTATTACACAGTCTGGATCCAACCCATAGTGTGTAGTAGACACAGGAGGAAAATATATATTTGGTTTGGGGTTTTAGCACAAGCAGACATTCTTTGGGTTATCCTGTGGTATGAATGGTTTAGTGTATACAAATACTATTTTTAAACATTTCAATTTTCTGAAGATTTCTGAATGTTGATGGTGGTCCCATAGAAGGAGATTAGTACTATCCATTACAAGGCAAAAAGGGTAGGGTAAGAATATCAAAACCATGTTTTCCTTGTAATATCAGCATGGGGCTGTGAAATGTTTGTAGAGGAGAATTTATGGGGGGGGGGGAGGGAAGACACACAAATGGTTCCCATTCCCCCTACTGCTTGATTTTCCCCCCTTCATCCAAACTGACTTGAGGGTGGGAGAATCCTGAGAGGAAAGGTTGCAGGGAAGAACATGTGTATTTGCGTGCGTGCGTGTGTGAAAGTGTTAACCAACCCCGTACGCTTTATTCCCTATGATGTTCCTAGTCCCCACCCACACTCTTGTTAACAAGCAAAATAAATGTCTGCCATCATTAGTATGTGTTGAATGATTTATAAGGCACTAATATATAAGGATGCTTGCTAAACTGTAAGGGGGGGGGGCGCAATGATTTAAAACCAAGCTCTTTGTCTAAATTTGCTGTAGGTGTGAAATCAAATTAAAGTCTTGTAAAGGAGGACCTTTCCAAGTGATGTTCAGATACTGGACCCTCTTACAAATTGTATATTGCTCTTTCTTTTGAATCGTTGCTCAGAATGTCATTCAGCTCCCATCTTCGTGTGCTGCTCTTTTGCAGGTGTGCTCAGAGTTATTTGTGGTTCCTCCAGTATAAACTGAAAGCTCCAGGCTTTTCTCATTTTTAAAAAGGGCTTTCAAGTGGTTTATGCTTACTAGAGGAGATCTCGTGTCACCAATACATTATGTCTTTCTTCTTGAATGTCACGTTCTGTACAAATGGACTATAAGAACCGTTCTGTGGAATCAGACCAAGGGCATATCTAGTCCAGCATTCTAGTCACTCAGTGGCCAACTAGATGTTACTGTGTCACAAACTGTGCTGCTGAAATTAATGTATTGGATGCATCCATGCAGCAGTCACCTTAGACGCCCTATTCAGACATTCTTCACAGATGCACCAGATCCTTTGGGAAAGGGTACCCTGCCACTTGACCGTTTTGGAGATGCTTGGGGAAGACTCCCACTAGTCCTACTCCCCATGATAATCACCTTGCTGGTCCTGATTCCACAACCTTTGTAGTTGTACACACATAGGAGCCTCATTATTTTGCTGTTTTGGGGGGAAGCAGGGGCAGCAAGGGGTTGAACATTAGGAGTGGTCCAACGACTCCATGCATGCCTTGTATCACTCCTCAGTATGACCTGACACTTGCACATGACAAGTGAGAATGAACCCAAGCAGAAATGGAAATCCATTCACTGAGTCCTGGTTCAGATTGCTTACTAGCCTTTGGTGCTGGCGAACTGCACCTGCCTTTCCTTCACAATGCATATGTCGGTGGAATCCAGTAATGTGCAAGTGAACTTTTGCTAATGCAACAGAACTTCATCTTCCTCCCCTCCCCCCTGCACACTCACAAATATGTTCCAGTGAGGTTCTCTCAACCTTCTAGAGCAGATTTTGAGGAGTGCAGGGGTGGGGAGGTGATGTTCTATTGGTTGGGTGGTAGTTTGCATGTCCTCACACATAGAGAATGTCAGGTGAGCAAGGCTTTCATGTGGGAAGGTGCTTTTAGTATGATTTCTTCCCTCTTTTTGAGGTGGAAGTGTGAAGCGCTTGTCCTCCTATAGCAGACCATTTGTGTGATAGGGTTGGGGGAGGGAGGGGATGCAACTCTGCCATGCAAAGTTTGACTGACTAAGCCAGAGCAAAACATCAGTGGGTTGAAAGATTCCTGCCCTGTGTTTTTGGGAGTTGGATACTGCAAATATGGCCGAAAATCCCCACTCAGGATAATGTGACGAGGAAACGAATTTTCAACATTATTAGGCCATAGCTGAGAATCTTGGATCACTTGATGTATGTACGAGATCTAATTGCTACCCTGATTCCTAGTTGCCACAGCTGTTTCATTAGACAATCCTGCAATTTTAAATATCTAGTGGTTCAAATATTCCAGTCCCTAGCTTAATGTTGTTTGTAGTCTTGCCAACCGACTTTTCTCTGAATAATTTGTTAACTTTAATCAGTAACTTCAAATGAGGGCCTAGTTCATTGTAGAATAGTTAAGGATGCGGCAGTTTTCAAACACCAAAGCCACCCAAATAAATTTCCAAGCATTTAACTTAAGAAAGCTACTATTTTATTCATATCATGGGGGATTTTCACAAAGCAATTATTGCCATTCTTATTTCTAAATGTTGTTGTGGTTTATAGAAGAGGCAACTTGAACTCATCTGTAAATTACTGTAACGCATTGAATATACCTTAGTCAGGCTTCTACTATATATTTTGGAAACTTGTTTGTCAGTTCACTATAGATTTGGACACCACTTAAGATATCATGACCAAATTATGCATCTGAGAACAGATCTTTGTTTGGATGCAGTTGGGCACTGCTTTGAATTAAAATAGAGAACTGCACATTGGGGGGGGGGAATGCAGTAATTTTAACTACTGATTTCAAAATTGCATTGAGTTTTTTGGGGTTTATTAGCAATTCACAGCAACACTGCGTATGAGGCTGCTAGTTAAGTACAAGTTGAATTCCTAATGTAATAGTTAGCAATACATCTATGTTAAAAACCTTCTGATTTATTTGTTTTTCCCTTTGTTATGTTTATGTATGTTGTTGCATACTGGACATGTATCCTTGGTGCCCTGGACTCTGGATAAACATCCCAAATGCAGTTCACAAGGTTCCTCTGTGAATCTCCACTTGAGGTAAGAAATCATGTTTTAACTCAAAATATTTACATTTTTAATACAGATTTATAGTTCACTTCCTCTGCCTGGTGTCTACCATTACATTTATAATGCATAACATAACATTTCCTTAGTTCCAGTAAATTGGATAATCTGCATCTATTTGATTTTGTTGTGACTTGTTGAATACTTTGAGTCTCTTAAAAATGCTAAGTGAGTTTGCACAAGATTTCTTAACTGAATACTATAGAGGACTAACGTATGGTTCTTGAATGAAGATAATATTTCATTAGTGGTTCAGATCACCATTCTGCCATGAAGCTCATTAGGTGATCAGTCAGTTTCTCTCATTCTTACCTCCTTACCTACCTTACAAAGTTGTTGTGGTGATAAAATAGGGGAAGAACCACGTGTGCCGCCTTGGAATTCTTGGAGACAAGGTGGAATACAAACTTTGTTTCTTGGTTGTTGTTTTTTCCAAATGACCATGGGGACTTGTCCATCAAAGTGAATTTTGTTGTAAAGGTTAACCTATGCAAGCTAATAAATAAGGCCATGGGTGAGTCTTGGCTGTGACACCTAAAAAACCTTTTCAGTCTTGCTGAATCCTGGTATGTGTATATTGAAATCCATATTTTATACCACGTTATTGATTGCTTCCATTTACTGGATTTTTTTGTTGGTATACCAGTTGCATAATGACTGGATCCATGTCCGGACACTCATACATGTACCTCCCCCTTCGTGTGAGGGAAAGAGCATGGCTGTGTTTGTTTGCTTCCTTCCATTCCAGCCACTGCCCACATTTGGGGCAGATGTTCTAAAGCAGGAAGCCTGTGGTTAGCAGCCAGGATTCAAATTCACACAGGGAACAGGCTCCCCATTTCAAAATGGCCTACTCCTCTTTCCCTCACACAGTGAGGAACACATACGTTTAAACCCCTGAATTAGAGCCAACGCTAGCCAGTTTTCAGTTGCTGAGTCTGATGTTTTGGCAGTGGGGTGGATGTAGGGCAGGGGTGCGGATCTTTTTTCAGCCCACAAGTTTCATTCCCTTGTGAATTAAGTTGAGGTAGCGCCTGGGGAGAGTTCTGAGGGCTAAATAGAGAGACATGGAAGGCCTGCATTCAGCCCCTGAGAGCTCACCACCCCAATGTAGGGCATATGTTAGCCCAGTTTGAATGTTAAACAATATAGAGGAGCAGGTACGTGGCTTGGGGGTGTTCCTGGATCCATTACTGTCAGGTGGCCTTGGTAGTCCAGAATGCCTTCTTTGGCTGGTGGTCCAGCTGTGCCCCTATCTGGACAGGGATAGCCCAATTTCTGTGGCCTATGCTCTGGTAACCACTAATGCGCTATATGTGGGGCTGCCCCTGAAGATGGTTCAGAAACTTCTTGTTGTTGTTGTTTACTCGTTTAGTCATGTCCGACTCTTCGTGACCCCGTGGACCAGAGCACGCCAGGCACTGCTGTCTTCCACTGCCTCCCACAGTTTGGTCAGAAACTTCAGCTGGTGCCAAATTTGATGGCCAGGTTGCTCACCAGGACAATACAAGTTCAGCTTATAACGCTGATCTTGGCTCAGTGGCACTGGCTGCCAATTAGTTTCTGGGTCCATTTCAAAGTGCTGGCACTGACCTATAAAAGCTTACATGGCTCAGGACTTCAAATACTACCTCTCCCCATATGAACTGACCCTGCACTTGTCACCTGAGGTCCTTCTCCATGTCCCCGAGAGGTTTGGAGGATGACAACACAGGAATAGGTCTTTTCTGTTGTAGCTCCCCATCTGTGCTCTCCCCAGAGAGGCTTGCCTGGCACCATCCTCACCTGTCTTTAGGAGCCAGGCAAAAACATTCATCTTTACCCAAGCCTTCAGCAATTAAATCTATGGCCTGTTATGTGTAGGGGGATGACTGTTATTATGATTATTTTATTATTACTCTGTCTGTTATTATGATCTGTATTATGCTTTTGTTATTATCCTCCATAAATTATGTTCTTGATTTTGTACACTGCCCTGGGATTACAGACTGACTGAACGAATGAATACAATTTGCATTTAAGTTCCCATTTTGGTTTGGTTAAATTTTAAATGCCTGAAGTTTTTAATAATTTTGTATGTTGATTGCGAGTTGCCTAGAGTCTGCCCTGTGTAAAGCAACTTTATGTTAGGCAACTAAATAAATTTGCATATACATCAAACAACCCAAAATCTGATTAATGGATATTCACTAAAGAAATTGATTGATGCATTTTTCTGACACCTGTTTCTTTAAAATTATTAACTGCACATAATGGATTTTTTAAGCTTAATAACTGAAAGATTTAAATGCAGCAAGCATAATTTCCCTTTTGTTTTTCAAGTATCCACTTGGAATTGCAAATTGATACCTTTTAAAATATCCTATCCCATGCATGTGGGGCTTTTGAAACGCATTCCTTTCTTGACTCCCTACTTGCTTTCCTTCTTGAAACGGTGTTTGGCTTCTTGATCAGATTTAGCTTGTCTGATCTCCTTAATTAGCCATAACATGAGAATTTGAAACCCCCATCAGAATTGATAGGATACTTTGCAGATTCTCTCTCCCCCCCCCCATTCATGAGTGGATGGCTAATCCTTACTCACTGATGCAAAATATTAGCACAGACTGCTGTTGGATACCTTACAGGGTGGGCAGTTTTTTAAGGCAGATCAGTATGAGAACACATAGAGCCCCTGTGAGGCTCAGTTTATACATGCCATTAGAAAAACAGGTTTGTATTATATGCTTGACTAATGGTATTTTTGGAGAGGCAGAATTTGTTTGTAGGTTCTTTACACATCCATCCCACCCCAACATGCTAGAGATGCTTCACCCTACTATTCTGCTAGGATATATAGTGTATCCTATCATCACTAAGCTTCTCTCTAGTGGTCCCCTGCAGTTGAGCGGCAAGTAACAAACCTCACTGAGAATGCATGTTAACCTATCTTACTTTGAGAAAAATATTTGGGCAGATTTGGATGACAAAGGATGAACCTATCTTACACGCTATAGCCTACTTTGCAAAATATAAACTTGAAGTTACCAAAGCAGAATATGTGCTTTGCATTTTCAATAACCATTTTGTGTTTTGAGTTCCTTTGCCTTAAAAGTAAATAAAAATAAACCTCAAAGGCACCTAAATGTTTTCAACTTTGTTTTTGCTTCTTAAAAACAGATAACCGGGGCTGGTGAATAATTAGAACAGGTTTTAGAGTCGAGGCTTCAGATTACTTCATTTATAACAGCTAAGAGGACTTTGTTTGTTGTAGGTCTTAAAGAGTTAACTACCACATGGGTGTAATGAAATTGTCAGGTTATAGTAATTGCACCAGTAATTTGATATGTTGCTGTTTGAATGAAGCCATGTGTGGAGAGTTTGTTCCTTTTCTCTGCTGAATCTAATCACCCCCACCCAGTTTTACATTTTCCCAACCTGAAGGCTATGAAGGCTAATCGGGATCATTAGACTTAATGGGGAAAGAGCTTTTATCACCTCGTCAAATAAGGCAACCGATTTCCATTATTTGCCTTATTTTGTATGGCTGTATGGGTGCTTATGTACACTTTGCTGTAAAAAAGGAAGGTTTATGCCAAGGATTCCCCCCCCCCCCGCAAAGCTTTTTATTGATGTTTTGAATCTTGAACTGAATTTTGTTTGGCACCACTTGCACATGTTTTCAATTAGAAGAAGCCAAATAAAAAGTCTTAAATATCCAAGGCTATAGGGATTTTTGAAATTCTCCAACTAAAAGCAAGCCCCACATGATCGTTGCAAAGCCTCTTTACCATGTATGTCACAAATAATTTCAAAACAAAAATTAAACTTTATGTGACTGAGTTCTGTTTTTCTTTTGAATTCTCAATAAACTCTTTAGAGACAACTCTCTTGGCAGTAGTAAAGTTGTTTTTCAAAAAAATCTGTTTGATTTTTTCATGTAGAGTCTTTAAATTATTAAAAGAATAAACATATTATTGGAAAGAAAAGTGCAGTCTATATGTAAAGAATAGTCTATTTGTGTTACCAGGGAAGTGACTCTGTAAAGATTTCTAGCTCTTCTTTATAAGCACCAACTCGTTAAGCAGAAGCAATTGACATGCATCACTGTTGAAGTGATTGATGTTGCTTAACTAGTCTAATGGGAGTAAGCTGTGCCTATGGATTGATTTTTTTGGAGGATAAACTAGATTTGTTTGGTTATTTGAAGTTTGTAGTACTTTTTCAGCTATAACTAGTGAAAAGATTTTTTTTTTTTGTTAAGATAAATGCAGATCAGTGGGAGCTATTTCATTACTGAATAGTTATATGCTCTTAAAATGATTCTCTTAAATGCCAGTTTCCAGTTTTGTAAACACTGTGCATAAGCCTTCCTCCCTGCTTGGTTCTCTGACTTTTGCATTCCCTTTCCTCCCTTTCTTCCAGTTCTCTATCCACCTGCATAAATATTATCAGCTGATCCTTTTAACTCCTTTTAACTCCAACCAGTCCTGCTACGTAGCCTCAGTTGTGTCTCGTGCCATGGTCTTGGTTTGCCTGCAACCCTCCTGTTACTTCCAGTTTTTATTTATCCTGATTACAGGATAAATTTTAAAATCACATCTAAGGAAGTCATAAGATGGTTGTTAGGTGCAAAAAAAGGTATGCTATCAGAATATAGTGGATAACAACAGACAAATAACTTCTGGTTAAAATGGAATAGGAACTCAAGTAGAATTTATAACTAGCTTTTATCTGTAGGAAAAAATTGAAAATAACCTCCTGTGTCAATCTCATTGGAAATTATTACAAAGTAATGTCATCCTGGCATTTGATACCATCGAGGCTGAAGCAAATCTGTCCTACTACATCCTCAGGCTATTAGTATAGATTACACATATGTGGTATATAAAGAATAATGTTCATAGTTTGTATTTCAGTACCTTTAGATTCAGTACTTATTGAGCTGACTTTGGATGGATGGCTGTTTCTTGACTCATAAAGTTGAGATAGACACAACCTTTTTGCAAATGCATACAGCCCCTTCACATGTACCACGAATAAACCAGGAAGTTTTTAATTAATCAAGTTTTCCATCTCATATGAACCAGAAAACTATGGTTACTACCTTCAAGAAAAGCCAGGATTGTAAACCATGGTTTGAAGTTGGTTTAATAAACTGGCATGTTGAGAAGCTGATAACTACATAGTTTTCTGGCTCAAACAAAATTGGAAAGTATTGTACATTAGACACTACCTAGTTTAATTGTGCTTTTCTACAGAGGGGCTTTTATGTGGTCAAAAGGCTCGTGTGCATCTTGGCATATTAAGCTGAGCTATGATGATCCAAATGTGTCCAGTGTCTTTGGATTCATTGAAGGTGGTAGCTTCAGCTCAAGTAACTGAATTAATATATTAATAATGCCCTTTTGTAAAGTACTATGCATAGTAGTTGTGTTATATAAACAACAGTAATCAAAATGTGAATTCGTTTTAGTTTTAAAACTCCTATATCCATTGCATCTGTTTTAAATAGCAGAAATGAAGCATGGCTGCTCAGAAGCTAAAAATATTTCAGCCGTGGATGTTTTTATCATATTGTTCTGCAGAATTATTAAATGAATCCTTTCTAATCCAGTTTTGTTGAAAAGATTCCCGTAAATGCTAAAAGATTGATGTGATGGAGTGAAGGTGAATTAGATTATTGTCTTGGACAAGAAGGGTTTCTTAAGTTGCAAGAGGAGGGGAGGACCCAGTGTGCTTAACATTTATTGATTTATTTCAAACATGTATACCCCATTTTTCCTCCAGAGAGCTTACCTCAAGCAGTTCTAATTTAATGAGTATAATCCAGTTGAATATAGTTTATTGTTCTCCAACAAAGCTTTTGTTTGTGATTTTTTTATAACTTAGGGCTGGCTCCCTATATAAATTTTCTTCACATGCATGATCTTATCCTCATCATCCTGTGAAAGTATACTTTTCAGCATATCTCTACATTGCAGCTAGTTATCCACATCTTTTAAAGATGAAGAACCAGTGAGCAGAATCTGTTCTGTTGGATTCTGTTTACTCATTTGTCTGTTTATTCATTTTATGGCTAATCAGTTTCAGTGTCACTCATAACTCTGCTAAGAAACGTTAACCCCCTTATTTCCAGGCTTGACTTTTGAGGCCAGTAGACTTCAATATAAGGAAACCTGCAAGGCAACGAAAGCAAGATTTGGTGGTTGTTAGTTAATAAATATTAACGTAACATGTGAATATATTGCAATCTGTTTTGGAAATAGCTCCATAGAAATCTCCTGAAATCTCTTATTTCTACACCTAAAACTTTCAGATTTCCACCTGTCATTTTGTTTGGCTTTGGTGAATGGGGCAGATAGCTAAGAAAGGCCTAATTCACTGAGCTGAGTCTTACTTTTATCTCAGTTTTACGTTACTCGGTGCATTTACTTGCTTGAATTTCAAAATGGTTCTCATTGTTAAAGATAATGTTACAGTTTTATAAACTGATTAATTTTTGCAGTTGAATTTCTGCTGGTCTATCCCCTCTAGGCAGAAAATCCACCTAATGGTCCAGATTGTGGCTATGGTTCTTTCCACCAGCAGTATTGGTTTGATGGAAAGATAATTGCTGTGGGTGTCATTGACATCCTTCCAAAGTCTGTGTCATCTGTGTATCTCTACTATGATCCTGGTTATTCTTCCCTATCTTTAGGCGTATACTCTGCACTAAGGTAAGGAAGTATTTTTTCATCATGTAGTAGTCATTTAAAGGTCTATTGGCATTTTAAAGCATAGAATGAAAAATGAAAACCAAAGTCTTACATGAAAGGCCTGCTTAGCTTTATTATATTTTAGTATTTTTAGAGTAAGAAAAACATTTACTTCATAGGTTCTAATTTAATTGGTCTGAGTATTTAAATTAGGTTGACACCAGTGTTTAAAGCAAAGTGTTTAATCTGCTTTGGAAGATGGAAGAAAGAAGTGAAACTTGTGACCAGATCAGCTGTGTGGTACCGCTTTTGCTGTATTGGGCCATTTCAAACGACTGTTCTGTTGCTGTTTTGCTTCCCTTTCTCACAGATCCAAAACCCAGGTCATCATCACTCAGTTTTGTATTCACATAATAATGTTGTGCGTTTGTTTGCATGAAGGACCATTCCCACAAGTGACTCCCTTAAATGCAGAGAGTGGCTTCGTTTCTTTGTTTTTTCAGTTGGAACTGACCAGTGTGGTGTCAATCCCACACTTTCACATTTGCTTGCCTACAAATGGAATGCTTTTCCCTCACAGGAGCGCTGCCAATAGTGATGTTTTTAGTTTCCTATTCCTTGATAATATGCTGATTTAGCAGTGTTTTGGGTTGCCTGAAGTACTTTCACTATATATAATAAACTGTAAAGGTGGAGTGTGGAACCCCTGGCTCTTCAGCTTATGTTGGACTGCAACACCAACTGCCTCAGCCAGCGTGAAGGAAGCTGTAGTTCAGCATTTGGCAGACACACTGGCTGCCCTTGCCTATAGATCAGACATGGCCAAACTTGGTCCTCCAGCTCTGTTCTGGGACTACAACTCCCATCATCCCTAGCTAACAGGACCGGTGGTCAGGGATGATGGGAATTGTAGTCCTAAAACAGCTGGAGGGCCAAGTTTGGCCATGCCTGCTATACAGTATGTAAGGTGACACCTAGACAAGCTTACTTAAACGCATATGAAAAGAACTGTCTTCAAGGGTGATGTAAAGTGGGATAACCAATATCTTGAAGTCCACAGATTTTCCCATCCCTGGTGTAAAGTTGGTTAGGTTCTGTCTGCTTTCACGAGTCAGGTTGCCAGCTTCTTAAACCTGGAGTAAATATGAACTCCCTCCAGGAGTTGAAGGTTTAATGTGAAGTTACTAAAGTAACTTAAGTTACCTAAGTTAACAGAAGGCTAGGAATAGAGAGCCCTTAAGAAGCTGCGAAGGAACTTGATACTATGCAGGCTGTTACCAATTTTATTCAGGGATGTTTGGAAAAGCCTTGCCTGAGCTTGGTGGCATTATTAGTTCGAATCCTATTTTAAAATATTGCTTAAACATATTTAAATGGGTGGGCCCCTTCAGAAAAACCCACGGTCTAAGAACCCAATCCATTAGACCAGGGGTCAGCAAACTTTTTAAGTAGGGGGCCAGTCCACTGTCCCTCAGACCTTGGGCAGGGGGGGCGGACTATATTTTGGAAAAAAAGAATAATGAACAAATTCCTATGCCTCACAAATAACCCAGAGATGCATTTTAAATAAAAGGACATATTCTACTCATGTAAAAACACACTGATTCCTGGGCCGTCCGCGGGCCGGATTTAGAAGACAATTGGGCCGGATCCGACCCTCAGACCTTAGTTTGCCTACCCATGCATTAGACAAATGATGAAGTGGTATGTTGTAACTTCTAGTTCTGGAAAAGCAACCAAAAGGACAAAGATAATATATATTAATAAAGGAATTTGTTTGAGTGGTTTTACTCTCAAAATGAAATTTCACGCATAAGTTAACATGCATAATGCTACCTGAAGTCATTAAGGCAAATATTAATGACTGCGAATTATGGACTTTGTGCTTTTCAGGTCTTTGTAGATGTTTCTTTGGGATTGATTGATTGATTTGCCTACAATGAGTGGGTTGTCATATTTGCTTGAATAATGGGCACATTGGCTACCCTTGTATATATCTTGTGTCATTCAGGCAGGCTTACTTAAACTTCGGTTTTAGTTGTCTGTCTTTTTTTCCTTAGCAGTTAGAATGCCCCCCCCCCCAAAGCTAGGATACCACAGTGGCTCAGCCACTACCTGCAAGAGGAATTGCAGACCATTAGCAGCAGACCATTTTTAGTCCTCATCTGCCACCTACTTTGTTGAAACACTTCAAACAAAAGCTGAGGCTGGAAGGCCAAGTAGGAGTAATGCTGGCTAGAACAAAATGAGGAGAAATTGGCAGCTGTGCATTCTTCACACACATCACTTAGAGTGTTGTCCCAAGTTAGATGAAAGCAACTGTCTCCAAGTGATGTAAAGCTGCAGAACCACCGCTCGCCTCTTGCTGGCTCAAGACTGAATAAGAAGAAAGCTAAAATACTGTAATTTTTCTTTCAAATAAATAAATGGGACGAGCACAGAAGACAGCACTCGCCAAATATGGAAAATAGCACTTGCTGCATATTTGCATGTAAATTACTCAAACTCACTGCAAGCTTCCTGAAACTTGTTGATTTTAAAATTCTCTGAAGTCTGCATGTACTGTCTTAGCCCGCTGAATACAATGACTGGGCCAGACTTCTATAGAACATCAGTGCATGAATATTAATAGGAAACCTGTTAAAAGGGTGCCTTTAATCACTTGCAATTTGAATTTCAGATTAGCTTCTTGGCAGGACAAAATGCAAAATTGGCTTTCTTAAGTAGAAGAGTTTGTGGTTTTGTTGGGTTCTTATACGGAACTGTCTCTGCATTTATTATTCCCATTCTTTACTTAAATGTAATCATCCCTTTAACATAGGCCAAAATTTAGGTCATTCCATTTTATTTCACGTTTGCTGTATTATAAGAGCTCCTTGCATCTGTGAACACATCTATCTGGTATTATCTTTTTATCCATTCAGAATGATTGCTTCTTTTACAGGGAAATTGCTTTTACTAGGCAACTTCATGAAAAGGCCTCTGACCTATGCTATTACTACATGGGGTTTTACATTCATTCATGCCCTAAAATGAGATATAAGGTAAGGCTAAAGTTACTTTATTAATGCGTCTGAATTCAGTCTGGTGTTTGATGTGACTGTTCTGTATGACTTCTCCCTGCCTTGGCTTGGCCAAAATGGAGCTGGCTTCTGTTCAGTTTTCTTTCAAGTGTCTAGAGTATTTTATATTTCTATCTGGATAAGATTTACTGGCTGGTATCCAATGAATTGGGCAACTAGTTCTACATGCCAAGAAGACTATGGGCTAGAGTTTCACAAACAGTGGCCCCCATGCCACCTAGCAAACCACATTTAAAACTGAGAGGACTTTCAAAGCAGCTTGCGACTTTGGGCAAAGATCTTCTGTTCAAAGGAAAGAAAACCAGAAATTCCACTGGGTATGCCAAAACCCTTGGGCATCCCTAAAGTCATTCTTTGGATACCAGCCATTTTGTTCAAGGTTGGTAAAAAAAACAAAACTTATTTAGTATGTTTTTAATGATTTGAAATCATATAACGTCTATAGACTATCTTTGGGTTTTGTTGAACGTCTTACAGTTTGGTTTCTTTAATTAGTTTGCTGTAAAGAAATACAGTGGTACCTCTGGTTGCGTACTTAATTCGTTCCAGAGGTCCGTTCTTAACCTGAAACTGTTCTTAACCTGAAGCACCACTTTAGCTAATGGAGCCTCCCGCTGCTGCTGCGCCGCTGCCGCACGATTTCTGTTCTCATCCTGAAGCAAAGTTCTTAACCCGAGATACTATTTTTGGGTTAGCGGAGTCTGTAACCTGAAGCGGATGTAACCCGAGGTACCACTGTAAATGAACCACCATACCAGTGTTCATCAGATGACTAGGTATAGAGCTTACTTATTGGCTCAATGTTTAGAAGAAAAATGTAAAGAAGTAATACCAAATACATATTTTGTGTTTGATTACTAGGTATATGTCACCATATAAAGGAATGTGTTAATTGAGGATGTCTTGTTCTCTGGGTTATGGCTTGGAGTCCCCATTTTTTATAATAAAAAAAGGGGGGTGGGGAGGAAATCTCATATTCTAACAATGCTTATGTGCACTGTGCTCAGTGGAATTTGCTCTCCAGTAAATGTTTCTTTATGATTGCAGTCCAAATGTTCATACTATCTGCAAATATAGATATGGAAATCTGTATATAGATATGTATATAACAGAGTATCAAGCATACAGTAGAAAAGCAGGCCACAGAATTGGGAGACAAGGTCACTAAGATATTTTTGCAAAGCACGGAGGGGTCAGCTCAGCAGAGGAATGTATGCATCACATGCATTAAACCCTGATTTTGCACCTCCAAGGATCACCTCTGGCATGGAAAGATCTCTTATCTTGAGCTGTGTTGCCAATCTGCATGTGCAATATTCCGCTAGAAGGTTTGTTGTCCTGAATTGGTAAGAGAGGCTTCTTAGAGCCCGATAAAGAGGCTTGTGGGGCATCTTTCCATTTTGCTCTGGCAAGTGTATTTATTGGGCCAGAAGTAATGCCTCCAGCGCTGCTTTTTCCCCTTTTCTGGACAACAGTGCTTCCTGAGTAATTCACTTGGGGAACAGAGCTGCTTTGGTAGAAACAACAAACAAACAAACCAGAACACAAGAAGTGACTCCCAAGCTGGCAGATGCTGTTCCCAGTGTGAAAGGGCTGAGGTGTCTCAGAGGCTTTCCCTTTTGTAACATCCTTTTCTTTTGCAGTGTAAAAAGTTTATTCCCGTTTCAGCCTGTGCAAGGCTTGAATACTCCCTCGCTATTGCCGTGTTAATGGTGACCTTACTGCCTACCGCAGCCATTCCCTAGATTTTCAAGGTGCTTCATTAAAAAATAATAATAATGTGTGTGTTGCAAATTTATATAGAGAAACCAGGCTTTTTAAACACACCCACACTATCAGCTACCTAATAGCATTCAAATTATGTTGTTCACCTAGCCATTGTTTAGGAACACACACTGGAAACAGTTTGCTGCATGGAATGGTTCTAAATTTGAAAAATACGAAATGGTGCCTTTACCTGAGGCTGCTTAACTGGCTTCTCCATAGTGCACATTGCTGCTGGTTACTGAGATGGGAAGTGGGGAGGCAGCAGAGATCAATGCAGTGTGGACTCAGCAGCACCCATCTGACTCTCCTGCTGATGTGCCCATGCTGAACCCCATGCTTCAGTAACCAGCACCGATGTGCAGTCTTGGGAAGCCAGGTAAGCAGTGCAGCCCTGCCTCTGCCACCTCATCAGCCTCTGCTCGTGCTCTCTGTCTCTGTTCTCTAGATTCTAGAAGGAATGGGAAGATAGAGATTTGCCAAGAATATGGTTTGAGAGAGAGTATGCATTTGATAAGGGGGACGCGGGTGGCGCTGTGGGTTAAAGCCTCAGCGCCTAGGACTTGCCGATCAAAAGGTCGGCGGTTTGAATCCCCGCGGCGGGGTGCGCTCCCGTTGCTCGGTCCCAGCGCCTGCCAACCTAGCAGTTCGAAAGCACCCCCGGGTGCAAGTAGATAAATAGGGACCGCTTACTAGCGGGAAGGTAAACGGCGTTCCGCGTGCTGCGCTGGCTCGCCAGATGCAGCTTTGTCACGCTGGCCACGTGACCCGGAAGTGTCTCCAGACAGCGCTGGCCCCCGGCCTATAGAGTGAGATGAGTGCACAACCCTAGAGTCTGTCAAGACTGGCCCATACGGGCAGGGGTACCTTTACCTTTTACCTTATGCATTTGATAACTTCCCCATCAAGATATTCTGCTGCCCGAAGCATCAACTCTAAATGCATTTACAGATTTAAATGTATACATCATAAATCTGCCACCATCGTGTTGAACGCCAATTCCTCTCCCAGTCCAGTAGTCCATATATTGCTGTTACACAGCATGCTACCCAAAGCACTGATCTTGCCACTTGCTCTTTTCATTTGCATGTCAAGCAAGGCAATTAAGCCCCAAGTCTGCCTCTTCTCCACATTTGCTGGCTGAAGCATCCTGTCTTGCCTTCTTTTTATGAAAGGACTGGCTCCTGATAAGAAGTAATATTGCTTCCTCAGTCAGATAGTATCTGTGAATCAAGGTTGCAACTATGGTTGCAGCTTTAACATCTAAATGTGTTGGGAAAATCAGTTGCCTTGAAGTACAAATGGAAGCACTACTTTTGCCAGTAACTTCTTTCAAAATAAGGATGGCTGGTTCATGTTCAAGAACGATCGCTGCTTGGGGGCAGAATTATTTTTGCAGATCTTTTATGTTTCTTATGCCACTTTGGAAAAGCTGCAAATGTGCTGCCTGCCCCCTGCATATGAATAGATAAACCTCAAACTTTAATAGATTGATGAGGGAAAAATCACTGATGACAGTTGATCTTTGGGTCTAGAGTACTTTTCCCCACCCTGACTTGTAATTTTCATATCCTTTGATCCTGTTCTTTTAAATTATATATTCCTGTGTAAAGATTTTTTTATTGGTTTGGCTAGGAAAGCTTCCTTCCAGCCTAAATTGAGCTTCTCACCAGTTACTAAAGTGCAGTGGTGTTTCGAAATGTGCTTCCATCTGCTGAGCAAGACAGAATATTGCCCTGACAAAATGCATTTTTAGTGGTTACCTGGCTTTTCCATCTAAAAATGTGATACTCTTTCCATAAATGCTACAAAGATGTGCTGATCCAGCTTTTGGCAGAAAGTGTGAAATACAGTCTTCCTAAATTGGCCTTCCTTGGAACTACAGAGAGCACTTATGGTGGTAAAGTGTTTGTAAGGAATTGAATGACTCAAAAGAGATTTCAGCCCTAGAAGTTAAACATGCAACTCAGTAACAAACTCCCAGGAAGTTCAGCTTAATTCCATACATATAGGAAGCTCCCTTATACCTGGTCAAACTGTCTGTATAGCCCTATGCTGTGTATTCTGCTTAGAAGTAGCACTCCTATAACACTCATACCCATCAGTCCTTTTTCTCAAATTAAGCAGATTTTAAATGGTAGATATGGCCTCCAAAGCCAGTTCTTCTGAGCCTGGCCCAGGGATGAAATTTTTTGTTCAAGATTCATTCCTTTTGCTCTTTATATTTTCTCTCACCAATACATTCAGCTGGAAAATACAAACTAGTATACAACCTTCCCTTCCAGCAATGATTTATGTTATTCTTCGTCACCTTGACTTGTCTAAAAGAGATATAAAAAGAATGGTGATAAACAGACCTATTTGATTTAGTAGGAGAACATAGAACCAAAGAATTGTAGAGTTGGAAGGTATCCTGAGGCTCATCTCTTCCATCTAGTGCAATGCAGGAATCTCAACTAAAGCACCCATGACAGATGGCCATCCAACCTCTGCTTAAGAACCTCCAAGGAAGGAGAGTCCACCACCTCTCATAGAAGGCTGTTCCACTGTCGGAACAGCTCTTACTGTTAGAAAGTTCTTCCTGATGTTTAGTCAGAATCTCCTTTCTTGTAGCTTGAATCCATTGGTTCGGGTCTTAGTCTCTGGAGCAGGAAAAAAACAAGCTTACTCCATCTTCCTTTAGATATTTGAAGATGGTTATCATACATCTTCTCAGTCTCCTCTTTACCAGACTAAACATGCCCAACTTCCTCAACCATTCCTTGATCATGTTGGTTGCCCTCCTCTGCACACGTTCTGGCTTGCCAATATCCTTCATAAACAATTCCACTTAATACTGTGCATAGAAGTGAACAGGCCAGGATTGTCTGAAGGCTAAGCATTCCATTACTTTAATTGGACTTTGGAAGACTACTGCTACTGGCTGACAGTTAATGTCATTTCTTTATTACTCGCTGGCTTTCACATAAGGATGAGGCATGGATGTCTAGCAGTCAGGAAAAGCATCTTTGCTATCTGTAGATGGCAGATTGCCAACCTGAAAGCGCCCAGTGTGTTTAATTTACACATGCACTATGCATTTATGTATTTATACATGCACTATGACACCGTACTGGTAATTTCAGTGTATCTTGCATTATAATTAACTTCCCAGTAAGGTGATGATCTGGTGGAAAAGATTCCCATGATTGGCCCCA